AGGAAGCTACTTCAAAGGAAGAATGTTGTCTCTTGAGCGAAATCAAGGGTGGAAGGTATAGGAGACACTTACGCCCAAACTTATGGAATGGATGCGGTTCGTTCAAAAGCAGTTAGTATTGAATCGACATACCACCTACATACCAAAGCGATTACTGTTTTCCCCGATACGAACAATGGAAGGTATGGTATTCAATTGGGCAGCTTATGTGGCCACAAGGATGCATGTAGAAATGGGAGCTAAGCAGAAGATGGGAAAGTTTGCTTCACTATTATGTTCCAATTATGTAAACTCAGTGATTGAATATACATTAAAATAAGAATCTCAACCAATAGTTCCAAGTTTACAAATGGGAACAGTTAGTCTATAGGTAATAGTGTATGAAGTGGGAGAATCCAGCAGAGGAACAGAACGGGAAGCAAGATCAATATCTACACCAGAGCGAGTTCCAATTCGGCCGACAATAGAGATGACGACACCAATACCAGTTCCAAGGGAAAGCAACCAATTAGGGTTTCAATATGATGTAAAGAAAGGATAGAATCTTAAAGAAGTTATATTGGATCAAATTTTCCAACCGCAACTTACGATGAGTAAGCTCGAAGATGAGGGTAGCTTAAAAAGGCAAGTGGAAATAAGCAAGAAAACAATATTGGAATAAAATTATAAAAACAGAAAACAGAAACAAGTCATTAAGGTAGAATCGAAATTCAAGATGCAAGTGAAGCGTGAATTGGATGAGAGAGTGGAAAAATGGTCAAAGGAGAAACAGAGGATTCTGTATATCTTGAAAAATCAAAGGCAAGAATTACTACAAACTCGCAAATCGTATAGGTTGGAATTAGAGAAGATAAACGCTCAGTTGAAGATGGAACGAGAGAAGGAGGCATTGGAGCTTGAAAAGAAATAATTGGGTAACCAATATCGAAACAAAATGAATGAGCTATAGGTAGAAATTGTTGTTTTGAAGGAAACAGTATCGAAATTGGAGAGTGATTTGATCAGTATTGGTCAGTCACAGACATTTGCCTCAATGGGAGTAAGAATTGGAAAATTGGAGGAGAAATTGCAACAGCAGCAACAACAACTGGAAGCTAAAGATGCCAGAATACTCCAATTGGAAGCTCAGGTTCAAGAATTGGGAACGTATAATAAAGATTTAACAATTCAATTAAGGGCAGAGATTCAAGACGAGTCGGAGGAAAAAGATATAGTGTTGGAACAAGACCAAATGGAGCCAGCACCAGAAATTGAAGAGATTGAACAACCCAGTTAAAATATATATATATATATTGATTTTTGTTTATCAATACTGTATTTGTGGGGACATTGCACAGTTAGGAGTGGGACTATGTAGAATAAGTAGTTATTTTCAGAATGTAGATATCTAATGTATAGTGTAAACAAGGATAGATAACTGCTGAAAAGATGGTTCAGTAGGTGGAATCGATGAATAGTCAGGAAAAGTAGTTATCATCCGTAATATAGGAGTTGGTATCTCAGGGTAATATAAGGAAGATGGGAGAGAGGAAGAAAATGCGAGATTGCGATAGTACTGAGCCGAGATAAGCTTAGTGCTATCTCTTCTTCTTAGTTTTCTTGTTTCTTTTGTATTAGTGTTGATTCTAGTGAAGAGAATCGATTTAATGAATCAATGTTTGATTTACGAAGTTGTTTATGGATCACTGTTTATCAATTGTTGTGAAAGATTGATGATGTATGGAAGTTTCCAATCACTGTTTATCGCAAGGTTATGAGTTCAGTGGAGAGGAATTGTAATCGAAGGAATTATCTCGATCACATTCTGTGGATTGAAAGTTGTTCGTTCCAGGGTTTGGATTATGCTTGTGTGTTCATAAATTATACAAGGTACTGAAATTGATGTCGTGGTTGTTATCGTATTGATATGAGAGAGTGGATAGTAGAAGAAAAAGTTAAGTATTCTTCGGTATTGTAAGCATTCAACAGTAGCAGTTAATTGTATGATCTTAACAATTGGAGCTCATATACATGATCTTTCCCTATGTTCGAATTTTCCTATACAAGTTTATTTGTGGGAGGTTTCTTCCGGAATAAGTAAAATGACAATCACACCAATCTTTGACTTTTGGCTAATAATTAACCTCAATGGGAGGTGACTATGCTCTCATGAATATAAGAAATTGGCCACAACTCACATAGATTAAGAATACTTTGATTTTAAAATACTCCTTGGCTAAACTCCAAGAGTTCTATTATTAGATAAGAATAGCTTAAGATGTCATAAGTTTCATAAATTACTATGAAATATGCAAGATAAATGTAACTATCCAAAAACAATCAATTTGAAATTACTCACTCTTATTTTGGTATTAGAGCCTTTTGTTTAAGTTGGTATAGACTTGATAGAATTTCTTACTTCCTTAATCAAAAATCTTAAGTACATAATAGTAGTGATGGTTTATTTCACTAAGTAGATAGATATAGAATCATTTTGGTTGAAGGATTGTAATATGGTAGTTTAATTTTTTTTCAATATGATCATGATGATGTATATTTGTTCCATCCAAAACTTTATTAACAACAATTTAGAATTTTGTAATATCCTCATAGACGTCTTTGCTATTTACATACAAGTAAAACGTACGATGATGATGTCATATTATCCTTCATGCAATGGTCTCATAGAATACTTAAATTGTATATTGTATTCTTTAATTGAGAAGAATGGGAGCCATGATGAATCATAACATACTTTATTATTAAATATCATCTTTGCATACAAGACTAATATTCATATAAGTATATGATTTTTATAATTTAAATTATTGTATAGATGTTAATTAAGATTGGCAATGACTCTATACAATGATAGTATTCAAGTGGTAGTACCTATTAACTTGGAAGAATATGTAGATTGATTGATTATTCAAAGGTAGCACTTCAACTACATAACACATTGTGACATTGCAAAGGCTCAATCTTGGCAAAAAAATGAATATGATAAATAAGTCAAATACATCTAATCTTTTTATATCAAAGATTAGGCGGCCTACTACATAGAGAAGCAATGTAAGTATAAGAGTAAATTTAAGGCCTATTATGTTGGGCCATACATCATCATACGTATTGATGTTTATAAATATAAAATCTACTTGTAGTCCACCAAAGACAAGGTGCCGTACATATCAAATCGCATACTTAACTTCAACTTCATCTATTATGAACTAAATGCTAGTCTAATTTGAATCAATCTTTGCATGGAAGAAGTCTTATAGAAACCTATAGCAACAACGTAGCCTTATAGTCAAGTAGTCATGCATATTGCTATATATATCCCATCAATTGATGTGGTAGTAGAATCACACATCAATTCTACAAAGAAATAGAATGTAGTAAATCTACACATGTAGAGATAAGAATTAGCTCAATCATAATCATATCTCCATTTATTAGCTTGCATTAGTATCCTACTTAGTTGGACTACATAAATAATATTTGTATGATTTCTATTATAAATGATGAACTAAAATTTGGCAAGATAAGTATTGAGGAGGTTATTTTGTAGCTTGCTTGTGGCTAAGGTTTCATTCTAGTATAGCTCTTTGCATCTTGTTAAAGTTCATCTCAAATAAGGTCAAGCGTCTTTGATTTGATTCTATGATTGCCTTGTGCGGGTACTTAGTTGTTTGTTTATAAGCACACAAGTCATCTTAGACATCTTTATCAAACCTTGACAAGATTAATGTTAAGCTAAATATTAGTCATATATAGTATAGTAATTTTTTTTTTTAGTTATATTTTACTTTAATATATGAAAAAAAATTGGTCACTAATATTCTTTGTAAAATTTTTTTTTTTCTCTGCACAACCTTTTATGGAGCAAGTATAGGTGCAATTTATAAAAAATTCCATGTTGTTGTCTCATTTGTACTTCTTGATACAACTTATGTACATACATATATACAAACATACATATATGTATGTATATTGATATTCATTGAAAAATATATATGATATTAAGAGATAGACATAGAAAATTTTATGTATTTCATTTTGAAGCATAAGTTTGGATATCTTTATCAAATCAACTGATGGTTTGATTAAAAAAAATTGTAAACATTATAGATATTTAGGTTTTTCTTAATGTAATGATGATAATGTGATAAAATAAATGTGTAAAATAGAATTTTAAAAATCAAAAATTTATATTTAGCAAGTCCTTCAAAAATCAAAATTTAAAATTTCAATTCACCAAAATTTTAAAAGAATGTATCATAGCAATTTTATTATATATATATATATAGACATATACACACACCTCTATATATACATATATATTCAGCTGGGAATAATGCAATAAAACAATGTAATCATTTTCTTACACTGGTCAAACATCTTTAAACACAGTAATGAAGTTGATTTTTTTAAAAGTTTGCTTCAAAAAGAAAACAAAGATGAAAACAAGAGAAGCAGGATCTCCAATCAGAACCAAACCTTGAATTGGTCAACCCTTCAAGATCTTAGACAACCCTAATAATAATCCAATAAAAAAAATCCAAAAAATAAAAAATAAATAAAAATCAATCAATAAATAAATAACCTCATCCCCATTTTCACTTGACAGTCAACACTCATTCATTTATGTATTCACACTTCCCCCTCGTCTTGCTTCAGTTCTGATCCCTCCTTCAACGCCACGGAAGTCGTGTGCTGCACAGTGGCAGGAGTGTGAAAAGGGACTTTATGGAGACAGAAATGGGAGTGGGGAGCGCGAGGGGAGAACGAAGGGGAACGAAAGGAGAACGATAGGGAGCGGGAGGAAGGGGGAGGCAGAATCGTGTGGCTGGAGGCGACTCCTGGCGGCATCCAGGAGCCTGGAGACGCCGCACCGAAGCGGGGAAAAGCTATGGCCAGAGTGCGGAAAATGGTGTGGTCTGACAAGGAAGGAACCGGGGGATGGCATGTTTCTCGCAATGCAACGCAATGCCCTATCCTTGGCAACACCCATCACAAGAACCTGACCACCAAATACTATGGCCTCCTGTCCACAGAGAGGATGGAAGGAAGGGAAGGGAAGGAAAGGAAGAGAGAGGGAGAGAGAGCGAGGGAGGGGCCCGCAGGGTCGCAAGACAAGCTTTTCTTCTGGACCTTTCCCTCCCGCCACCAACGACCTCGCAGTCCGATCCGGGACGATCCGGGACGATCAGGAACCAGCGGCTATTGTTGCCCTCCTCATCCCGAATCAACCATCCCCTCGCACTTCGATTACTTACCGATCGCACCCAATATTAACATCTGTCGCCCCCCCGTTTTGCCCATCACCCACTCCAGGAAACCTCGATCATCTCCGCCTGTGCAGCAGCTGCAGCCGTTCTGTTGGAGTGCTTGTGTGGTGCCGCGCGCGGTCTTTAAGGTATTTTGTTGTTTGTATGAATAGTTTTTTAGTTACGGTTTCATGGCGCGTTTTTCTTTAGTTGGAGTTGGTTTGGTTGCTGCGCATTTTGGTTGTTTCGCACGTCATGATAGTTTTGGGTTGCTGGAGTTGGTTGGGTTCAAGGTTTGAGGTTCAATTATGGTTGATCCAGTAGTTGGGGTCAACAATGTGTTGATTTATGGGGTCGGGTTGTCGTAAGGTCTCTCGTGGGTCTTGGCGAGGGGATCACGGATCGCATTATATTTTGGAGGAAGATACCAGATTTGTACAAATCCAACACGTTCGATTTTTTGTAGACTTTTCTGGTTTGTTCTTCTTTTGGGTGTTAACGAGGCGTCGTCGTATGTGCAAAGCTTGAAGGATGGAGTCCCTCGCGCTGCGATCTGCCGTGGTTGCCACCGGATTGACCTCCAGTGTGGCATCCCAAACCTCTGTGCAGACCCGCGCTACGGTTTCGTCTGCTTTCATCGGGAAGAGCATACGTGTGAACACTAAACTCAACGCCTCAGCTGTGCCCGTCCAGCAGAAGTTCCGCTACGTGCGTGCCGACGCTGGTGCACAGACTGCGCAGGTTGAGACCGTTGAGAAGAAGGCTAGCATTAAGGACGTTCCCGAGTCGGAATTCCAGGGCAAGGTTGTGTTCGTGCGTGCTGATCTGAACGTACCTCTCAATGATGCATGCGAAATCACCGATGACACCCGAATCCGTGCCTCCCTCCCGACCATCCAGCATCTTACGAAGGCCGGAGCCAAGGTGGTGCTCGCTAGCCATTTGGGTCGCCCCAAGAAGGGCCCTGAGGACAAATTCAGCTTGAAGCCCGTTGCAGGTATGTGGTCTACAAATACTAAAAATTCTGCAGAAATGCGAGAGACACTATAGGACGTAGTCACACGGTATGTACGGATTCTATGAGGCAATTATATTGTCTCAGGACCAGGATGATATAACCTTAGAACTCGAATTAACCTGTCTGCAACTCAGATACTTGTACTTCAATGTGATGCAGGGAGACTGACCGAGTTGCTTGGCCAGACCGTGGAATTGGCCCCTGATTGCATTGGTGCTGAAGTAGAATCTAAGATTGCAGCACTGAAGGTGTGTTCAATTTTCTCTAGTTGATGATTACAAGTATGGGACAGCATTTGTAATTGCCGTATGGTCTTGCCAAGGCTAAATATCTAGTTTCATGAGTCGTCATTCGCTTCTAAGCCTTAATGGTTTGTGTCGACGTCAGAATGGTGAAGTTCTCCTTCTGGAGAATGTTAGGTTCTACAAGGAAGAGGAGAAGAACGACAGCGAGTTCTCCCAAAAGCTTGCCAAGGGTGTCGATATCTTCGTTAACGACGCCTTCGGCACTGCCCACCGCGCTCACTCATCTACTGCAGGAATTGCTGAGTACGTTGGCAAGACTGTGGCTGGGTTCCTCTTGGAGAAGGAGTTGGCTTATCTCGCTGGCGCCGTGAAGGCCCCAGCCAGGCCTTTCGTTGCCATTGTAAGATACCTCTGACTGATCCAGTATATTACTATTGCAGTGACTTTTCATATGTAATCCCAGTTATAACGGTCTTCAAATTCACACTCTTGGAAGAAACGTGTGACGTACTTCTCTCACAATATGGGCTAACCGGAGACACGCATCGCCCTCGTCGTTCTCAGGTTGGAGGCAGCAAGGTCTCATCGAAGATTACTGTGATTGAGTCCTTGATGAACGTGTGCGACAAGGTCATTTTGGGAGGTGGCATGATCTTTACCTTCTTCAAGGCAGACGGCAAGGATGTTGGAAGTTCCCTAGTGGAGGATGACAAGATTGATTTGGCCAAGGACCTCGTGGCTCTAGCTAAGAAGAAGGGCGTTGAGCTCATTCTCCCCGTCGATGTCACCGCAGCTGATAAGTTCTCTCCCGAAGCCAACACTCAAGTGTGCAGCTCCTCGAACATCCCTGCCGGTATGCCTTTCCTCCCACCCCCATATCCTCAGCGCATAGTGAATAGTTTATTCTAATATGTTTATAGGAAGTTGTGTCGAAACAGTTCATTCCATCTTAGAACATCAGCCCACAATTTAATCATGGAAAATGTAATAGGTGACCTACATCCCTCTTTCTTGTGGCATACCCTTGAAGCACATTGTCACCCAACTTTCTGTTGATAATCGCAGGCTGGATGGGACTAGACATTGGCCCGAAGGCAATCGACCAATTCCAGGATGCCCTGAAGGGCGCCAAGGTGCGCTTTCACACTTTCTCACTTAACAAATGAGCGGATCGGTACAAATTCGGAGAAATTGTAGTGCTTGATGAAGCCATGACTTAATGCGAGAATTGCACTTTCTGTATTCAGCACAACCCAAACTTGTACCACTTTCTGACACAATCTGATTTGCCCATTGCAGACGGTTCTGTGGAACGGACCGATGGGAGTGTTCGAGTTCGAGAAGTTCGCGGACGGAACAACTGCCGTCGCTAAAACTTTGGCAGGTTTGACCAAGGAGGGTGCCATCACCATCATTGGAGGAGGTGACTCCGTCGCAGCCGTTGAGAAGGCTGGACTCGCCGACCAGATGAGCCATGTGTCCACCGGAGGAGGGGCCAGTCTCGAGTTGTTGGAAGGCAAGGTATTGCCAGGAGTTGCTGCTCTTGACAACGCTTAAATGCCTCTTTTGCCGAAGAGGTGAATTCCGTCCACGAACTCGCAGTAGAGTGACAATGTCACTGAGTGCACCCCCGGCTCTGGCTGTCTAATCATATGATTCATTTTTTTGGTAGTTTTTTTTGTGATTTGCCTTTGTACCAGTAAACACAGATTATGACCAGTAAAGAACTCCAGCTCGATTTACCTGGATGCTTGGTATTCTCTTACATGTGTTGGTTCTTGTCCAATCGTTTTGAGAGGCTGCAGCTGGCTTTGGCCTGCTTCGTAACATTGTCTCCTGCCTTAATAGTTAACGCAATTTATCCACAATCGAATCCCAACAATGTAATACATCTCTTAATACCCCTTTTTTTACAGGAGGAAATACCTCAGCGGAAGTACCTTCATCTTTGCACATATACCACAGCACTCAGCGACATTATCGTAGCCATACGATACATCTATAGAGAGCAATTCGCACATACATTGTGTTAAACAGTCAATAGAAAAACCGTTCTTCACCCCGATTATTACCAATTGGCACATATTTATATGTATCTTGATCCACAAACACGATTTGGTGAAATTATCTAATGTCAATCACATTACAGTATCTTAAAGTGATTAATGTATATACGTACATATACATACAAATGTAGTGAACATCAGATAGTGACCTATCATTGTGCAAATCTACAACCATTAAGAAACATGTATATCCACTCCTCAACAACACACCTGCACATTATAAAATCAAGTAAAATAGCCCTCAATCAAAATGGTGCTGTTGTACTCACGATTAAATTCATTGTTTTCAGCTTAATTTCTTTACTGAGAATGCTTTTATATAGCCGAATTGACTAAAGCAATTCTAATTCCAAGCACCCATGCAACACAGGCAATTAGACCTTCCAGTATAGAAGATTTTTTTTTGTTTCACACTTGCAGAGTTGATTTCATAATACTAACTTCAACATTAATATAGACTAAGTCAAAATCTGGCATGACTAATTATACAATTTTTAACTTTTTTTATCACTTAAGTTCAATATAGCCTTTTGTAATGATTTGTAGTCAATGCATTATTTAATATATTTATAAATATATAATGGTCGTGATGATACTACAATATTTTGATATTTTGAGTAGGTGTGTTTTGTTTTTTTTTGTAATTTGTATTCTTGTAACTTGCTATTTAATGTATATTTTTTTGCTGAATTAATTTATAGTTCTTATCTTTTTAACAAGTATGGATTTGTTTTATTTGGTCAAAAACAAAGCTGTCGTGGTCTTTTTAAAAACATTGTCACTTTTAATCACTTGATCTAATTTGTTTAGAGTTTTATTTCTTACTACAAATATAAGTTAGATTTAATTTTTTTATTTTTTATTTTTTTTAATTAATACTATAGTTCCTAATAAAAATATCATGACTATGCTTTGATGCTAATGAGCTGAATCATCATCTTCCATAAGTGCAAAAGGCAATCTATCCTTTGTGCCCAAGTATCCCCTTTGCCAAAGACTCTCTTTATAAGTGTGAAGAGTAGCCTTGTTGAGAATGCTCAAGATTCTCCTCATCAATGTCCAATCAGAACAGACAAGATGCATGAGTGACTTAGTAGAGGAATTCAGCTCTATTAAAGTTCTATCAAATCTAATAATACATCTGTTTAAACTCTATTGGGCTTTTTTAGGAAGCAGTAGACACTGTTTATGAACCCAATATCCCATCAATATAATTGCCTTATAGTAAGTGCAATGGCATATTATGGCCTCATGTTATTTGGTTTAGAGAATGTCTAGAGCTAGATATTTAGAAGCATACTGATGATGCATTGCAAGGATGCACTTTACTCTTGGTCGTTGGGACTTTGGCTGTGGTCTACATGAGTACTAAACTCATCTAATTGATAGTATGTCTTGGACCTTTAGTAATTGCTAGTTCATTGGTAATCATGCACTTGCTACACGAACAAATTAGGAGGATCTTCACAAGCCTTAGTAATGAACTTTTCAATGGAAGAAGTTTACATTATGAGGGGGTTTTAGTATCACTAGGTTAGAGTTAGATATCAAAAGTTGCAACATTAATCAATTATGTGAGTGTGAACATTATATATGCAATTAAATTTGGTTGAATTCTTCTTATTGATTATGTGTAGCCTATTGTAGGGTATATCTCCTTAGTAAAGGCACAAAGAGGGTGGTTGCAAAATTCAACATAGAAGATACATCTATAAGCTATAATTGCTAATAATATTCTTTTAATATAAAAAATATATAAAAATTAATCTTCTAGTGACAAATATATAAGTTTTTTTCATATCAATTGGTTAATTGGAATAAGTTTGATTTGTTCACATAGCAACTAGATATATGTTTGTATTAAATTCAAAGTAGAAAATGGCAACTAAAATAATATAAGTATATTTCTCTAAATACATTGTAGCTTTTTTACATAAATATGATGGAAGTAGGATGGCCTATAAATTTTGTGGAATCTTTGATTCAAGATGATAGGCTTAGATTAAGAATTGGCTTAATACTCCAAGGAAAATTTTAATACCTTCTTGTTGTCTTTCACAAGTTCAAATTTCAAGAACCCTTGTTTGTAAAGTTATTTATGGCTCTTAGCATTAGAAAAGATGAGCTAGCTGAATCAAAAGAAACTTAATGATTTATACCAAGATTTTTTTTTTTAAAGTATTTATTATCCTATTTGAATGTTATAAGATTTTTCTCCATTTTCTTGCTTATTAGATTATGGTTTGTAGTAGATTCTTGAAAATGATATTGATTGATTAACTTGGTCGAGTTAAAAAATCAAGGCAAATATTAAATTGATATACACAATATATGATCTACAATATTGAAAATGATTATTTTTTTTATAAAATTTTTTGAGTCAAATCTCAAAAACAAGTAAGAGTATCACAAAATAGATTTCTATACTTTTTTTTTTATTGATTCCTATGTATAAATCAACTTCAATTATAATTGTTGCAACTACCATTTATACACATCATTCAAATGGTTTAAATGCATGTAACTTCTTAGTTATAATATTCCAAAATTAACCAATTTGGCTTACTTTTTTATGACACAACCAAAAATAGACTATGAAAGATGGCATATTATATACAACAGGCTGCATATGAGTGTGTGCATGTAATATGAGAATTCTAATATGTGAAAGAACATTAGATATGTTAGTAAAGAAGCTTCTTTACCTTAACATGGACTTCTCAACTATTGTCTAGATTTCTCCTTTTCTCTTTGTTTTCTTTCTAGTATCTATAACTACTTCTTTTTATCATTGAACAAATTTGCAATACCTCAAGTATTATTTTCTTTGCTACATGTTTCTGTTATTACAAACTATTAAAAAAATTAGTATAATAACAAAGTCTATTTCATTAGTACAATATCATAATACTATTAATAATATTTTTATGTCATTATTTTATTCTATGTATTCAAACTTATGGTACAAGCAAGGCTAAATAGAGACAAATTTTTGAAAATGCATTGCAACACTGGAAAGCATATAATTTAATGTCATGCTTTTCACAAGCTAAGCTTACAATGACAATCACTTTTTATTTATCCAAACTAAGCTTTGATTATATAGATAGATGAATTATGAAAATACACATCATCTTGAGTTCTATCGTCTTCCTTATAAACTACAACATAGCCAATATTCCAATGACTATGCACATAATCCTTATAAACCTCAGCTCCAATCTAATAATGCATCTAGATTGTAGAGCTTTTTGTAAAATTATAGATTTAAAAGAGTAATTATTAATTTAATAATTAATTCAATCTATCCTTTCAAGTCTTAATATTGAAAGAAAAGAGTCTGTAGTAGTCTCAATGAGGTTGGTTTTTGCATTCATGAAGAGATTTTTAAGCAAAAGAATTGCTTGGGTATAGAAGACAAGCTATTTTTTGTACTCATAGAGGATAATGATCTAGGCCATCAAGTCATAGTCATGAGTACATTGTATGGAATAAAATGACATTAGATTGAATTAATCATCTCATAGTTTGAAAGGTGTAGCTTTAATAAAATTAAGACATGGCTTTAATAATATATATATTAGAATATTACATAGACCTTCTATTTTATTAAATCAACCAGTCCTATTATAACTATCATTGAAAAAATAGATCATCTCTATAAACCATTATTACAATCATGGCCTTTATGTCAATCTTCTTTATTTTCAGCCCTTGCTTTTTCTATTCCGAGCTCTCATCTTGACACTCCTCATTTCTAATCTCGGCTCTTTCCATTCCTAACTCTCATCATGATCTCTTTCTTCTATTCTTCCCTCCTTCTTCACTATATTTCCACTCAAAGGTTTTGCCATCACATTGTAGAGCAAGAAGGTTGATATAAATTATATTTTATTATATGGTATAATGAAGCTATAATAATGGAAGGTAGATGTTGCACCATGAAACATGAAGCTAGATCCTTTAATAAGTCAACTACAAACAAAACAATATGTAGATCATATTTTCTATAGTATTTTTGTGAAGACCTCAATATAAATTTTTTGATGTTGTAAATTCATGCATAGACAAATACAGAGAGAAATAAAAATACATACCTTGAAGTTGTAGTTAAAAACAAAATTTCTTGTACTCAGTGATTTAATTGACATGAATATAAGTAAAACCAATTTTCAATTGAGGTTGCATCATATGTCTTACAACAAGGAGCAACTATGCATCAATACACATAATAAACACAAACACTACAATATATTGTGTTTGATATAACTTTTTGTGTTGGATTTAACTCCACAACCACCTCCTAGATCCATGCATGATTTGGCTTATTGGAAGTGTAACTGGTTTTAGAGGTTACCAATGTAATAAAAAACTAGAGCCAATATAATGCTCTTATAGGAAAGTTGAAGGTATTTTTAGATTGGATGCACCATTATCAAAACATTATCATTAATAAAGAGTGGATTCAAAGGCTATTTGTTGTTTCGTACCTTCTCAAAGGTGAATTCTTCGACTTATATGAAATCAAAGATGGAGCTTTATATATGCATGTCTTTATAAATAATAGATTTAAGGACAAGAAGTGCACCACATTGATCTTTGAAAAGACAAAGGCATTAAAAAAATATAAAATTAAATGGTAATACATAGGAAAGGATAGTTTTTAAGTTAAAAGCCTTTAATTCAAAGTTGGTTGATAGCCGTAATTTATACTAGTTGCTTCTTTCAACTATGTCTTTTAGCTTTTCTTCATTTGACCAAGATAAGGTGAGTGTATTATTTATTGCCTATAACATTAATTTTTCATACAAACAAGAGTGAAAATAGTCACATATCAACTCAACTATATTAGTATTAGATTAGTTAATTCTACAACATCATCAACAAACATAATTTCTATCTATATCATTACAAACTAGTACTTCTTCATAAATTCATCACTTTGGCTATTGATTGCAATTCATTAATATTTATGAAGGATAAGATTAGTGAAGCATGATCTTTTATTTATTAATATTTCTACAAGAACTAATTATTTATAGTAACAATATTTGGTGGATTATTTTTATCTATCTATCTATATATATATATATATATATATATATATATATATATATATGCACCAAATCATTTGAATTGTCTTGAAACTTTAGTCATATAAAGATTTTTTATTCTAATCACATCATAAAAGTATCTAAGAATCAATCTTTTCCAGCTATAAGAATAAATATGCATATTAATAATGTTGCATTAATCAACCATCAAAACACATCTCATGGACTCTACTTCCAAATTATTACAAAATGTAGTAAATATAGCATAGGAAAGTATGGATAAATGAAATAACATATGCTTGACAAGATCAAAATAGGCTCTAAATTTATGACAATATTAATTCACATCAAGAGAAACATATGCAACCACACAAGCATTCCTATTCTACAAGCATGTAGTTATCAATGTCAATAAGGTGGCCATCACACACAATAAGGAAGGGAAGAAAGACAAGGTAGACACAATTGTGGTAATTACAAGGTAAAAAAATTATCCACATTATTTAAACTATGGAAAAGGCGTTAGTTTTATTATAATAGCAAAAAGCAGTATTGATGCTAGTATTTTAGAGCACTACAATAGATAGAAGGATAAATTATATTAAGTCAATTATACTTCTAGTAAGTTAAATCATGCAAGCACATAAGGGAGGAAGAAGGGGCTTGTGGAATGAGAGCTATGAATAGATGGAGTTAAGATTGAGAATAAAGGATATCAAGATGAAAGTTGAGAATAAAGAAAGTGGGAGTTAAGAATGAAGGTGGTCAAGATAAAGGTTATGATTGTAATAATAATTAATAGAAATGATCCATTTTTCTAATTATGGTTATAACAAGATAGATATATTTAGTAAAAAAGAAATTTTATTTAATATTTTTCTATATATATATATATATCAATTATAAGTTTTATAATTTATTTACTTACTAATATTAACAAAAATAATTATGGTAGACTAAAAAAGGAGATTGAAGCCATATATTAAAAGAGAGTTGGAATTGTATAAGCTTATTTACAAGGACTTTTAATATCAATCTAAAAGAAATAAATTACAATTTTTATAATTTTTATAATTATTAATAATTAATAAAATTAAAATAATTATATATAGTAATAAAATTAATGTAATAACATCAAGTTATAGCTGAATTTGTTAAAAATATTAAAAATTATAAATATATTAAAAATAAATAAATAAAAAACCACTAGGCAAATATTTTCTTTGTATTGAGTGGACAATTCTTCCTTCCTCTTTTTTCCATGCCATACCAACAATATACCACTACTACAAATTTTCAAGAAGTTAGACACTAATGACATTGAAAATGTATAAAAACAACATTCCACATTTAATGAACATTAGCAATAGAAAATCTAATAAAATTAAAATAAATAAATAATAAAAGAAAAGTATCCATTCAATAGAATTACTATATAGATTTATTTTTAATTTTTTTATTTACTTTGTTTAGATTATGTATCATTGATATTTGTATGTTGTTGGTTATTATTATTATTGTTTATTTTTGTTTTTATATCTTTTGGCCTAAATGGTATATTTTTAGTGGTACAAAAAGGTGTCTACATAGTAAAAGAAAGATGTGGAAGAAGTGTATCTACTTAGTGGTTCTCTTAAAAAATTAAGTATTTTAAATTTTGTATAATTTAAATTACTTTATTAATTAATTTATTTTTAAATTGATATATTATTTTATTTGTAATTCTTACTTCTATTGGTATATTCTTTTATTAATTTTTTTTATAAGTTTTTATTATCTATATTATTTTTATACAAAGAATATATAGTATTATTAAGATTTGACTACCTTGTGCAAGTAAATACTAAATATACATATGTTGTGAGATTATTAAATTATCTAATAATAATAATAATAAAATTTATTGCATGGCTTTAATTTATTGCTTATATATTATAAATGTTGTCATTTAGACTAATTACTTAATTTTTTTCTTGAACAATTAAGCCTTGATTTTAAGAATATGAGATTTACTTATTAGTTTTTTGAAATGCTTTTAGTAAATTTATAGTAAGACAAAATATTTATATATGTGTAGTCTTTATTTTAAAAAATATTTATTCAAAAGATATGTAAGTATTTTTTCAAATAAACATTAAAAATTAAAATTTAGATTCATGTCATCATACTTCAATTTTAGTCTAAGTGTTTTAATACATGTAAATATTTATTTATTTTTTAAAAAATATATATATATATATATATATATATATTCAAAAGAAAAATAAGAAACTTGTACTTCTTGATTTCCAAAAATAATTGTAATTCTATTAATTTTATAAAAATATCTTAATTTAATTTTAACTATCAATTAAAAAACACATATTTATTTTGTAAGCATACTATCATTCAGTGCTAAGATTATATTTAAAACCTTCAGATTTATCATCTTAAATTTAGAATTCAAAATATTTATCATATTGGTTGGATATTTACCATATTCTTCATCAAATGTAGATCTATTTAGTAAAAGCATGGGTCTATTCAACATTCCCCTATATATATATATATATATATATATATATTAAAAAATAAATAGATTTAATTAAATAATTAATTCAGTGATTAATTATTGAGTGATTCAGCATGTTGCACCCTTTTTCATCTATCCACAACTCCATTCAACTTCGTGAATAAATATTAAAACAAATTTTAGTAGTAAGCACCATTTAACATATTACATTTAACAGAGTAAACTCTTTCCAATCAGCTACTCTAAGAGAAAGGACCCAAAAATTAATTATCAACTAAATTTACCATCGGTTGTTATCAGGGTTACATTCAAAGGGAGCAATTGTGCAAAGGAGACCTGTACTCGGTTATAGGACCTCGAACTTGTTTCCTTACACAAAACGGCCGTTAAAGCGTAACGTTAAACTCTACAAGTTCCTAGCCCGTATCGACATCTTTCAAAATCTACAAATAATTCACAACTATTGAATATCTCCATGACTCGGTTTCGCGCGCCCGCGAGTCTTTGAAAAATGGAGGGAATATGCAACGCGCCATTTTTTGTGATTTCAAACTGTCAGTTCCGAGCCAATCACCGAAGCTGATAATCCACCTTGACCCTCAGATTTGAATCGGACGGTCGAGGTCGTCGATCTTGTCCGTCAAGGGAATGCCATTCTATTGGTCCGTGTCTTGTGAAGTGGTATATAAAGAAGTTAATCATCCTCACGCTATTGCAGTGAACTTGTTCTATTACCGTAGTGCGTATCGTTGCGTGTGTGTTTACCTCGCTTTAGGTCATTACGCTTGTGGATTTCTCTGGGTTGCCGATATGGCTCCGAAGAGTGATGAGCAGAAGGCTGGCAAGAGCAAGGCTGAGAAGAAACCAGTAGTGAAGAAAGCCGAGAAGAAGATCAAGAGCGATACTAAGGTTGACGCTAAGAAGAAGAAGGCGAAGAAGAGCGTTGAGACGTACAAGATTTACATCTACAAGGTCTTGAAGCAGGTAGGTATTCTGTCTGACGTCTCCTTAGATGATGTACTGCCTTATGTGCGCAAGAGTTAGTCGTCTGTAGGATAGCCCGCCTAATCATCTCATGTTTCTTTGCACACAGGTACATCCTGACACTGGTATATCTTCTAAGGCTATGGGCATCATGAATTCCTTTATCAACGATATCTTTGAGAAGTTGGCCCAGGAAGCCGCTCGGCTTGCAAGGTATAATAAGAAGCCGACCATCACTTCTCGTGAGATTCAAACCGCTGTGCGCTTGATTCTTCCCGGAGAGTTGGCGAAACACGCAGTGTCTGAAGGAACTAAGGCTGTGACAAAGTTCACGAGCTCTTAGTTCAATTCGAGGCATACTTTTATGGTGTTTTATTAACACCACCTCTCTTCAGAGACTACCACTCCATTTATTTCATTTCTTCTACATACTTAACCTAAACCTCGTTTACATAGCCTCAAGTCCGCAATTCCTCAATTCTCTTCCTTCAGTCTCACTCGGCGCGAGTCCCGCTACTCAGTTGTCTCCGCGAGGTAGTAGTTGAAAGTCCTTTCGATGTTAATGTCTGCTTTCATCGCGTTGCCGTCACTAATTCCTACCTCCCCACGTTGCTGTCTGTAGAGGTTGACTGGAAGCTTAGAAGCCTGATTATAATCTCCGAACATCCTCCGGAAAGTGTGATAAACTACATCTCTTGTAAAAATCCCATTTTTAGGTTATTCCAATCGCGATTGGGCAAATTCACTTGTGATTTGCATAACTCCTTGCGAAGAGACGCCGTTTTGATGTCTCAATCCTGGCTAATGGTTGTAGGTGACCTCTATGTATCAACTTCACCATGTACAAGCTACGTTATGCAGTATATCCTTGTCCTGCAAAAAAGAGTGTTATAAAAGTGTACTGCAGTCTGCTACAAGACTCGCGAACCTGTAAGAAATACAACTTTTGCTTGAAACGAAGCAGCTCCAAGTAGTGTTGATGCCCTGAGAAACGGAGAGATAACTTTGTGAAAAAATATCACTGGCATTTTACTGACAGAAACCACATGGTTGATTCTAGGATGATGAAATTCAACCTACACAGCGATGTGTTAAAACATGTAGTAATTTCCAGTCAAATACTGACCTGTGAAATTGACACTAACCCAAACATCTGTGTCGGACTTAATAAAAATGTCTATAGTAGTATATGTGTCAAAATTAATCATCATACTGAAATAATATGAACAAATCACATCATCAATAGAAAAAATGTCTTCACAAAACTGTACCTATTTTCGTAAATTTGAATGTGCAATAAACTTTCATTGACGTTGATTAGAATTGCTATTCCTTAATTGTACTATTTTTCTTAAATATCTATTATCAAAGAGGCCTTAGCATAGAGGGACCCTAACTGCATAGTAATATATCTCAAATTTGGAGCTAATTATTTACTTTAAATGAGTAGATTGTAATAAACATCTTAAACATGAACTCTGACTTTGAATCTATGTTGTCTAGAGAATGTAAGATGTTTCAACTTGTTAATAATAAATTCCGTTTTAGTAATACTAAACATGAACTCTGACTTTGAATCTATATTGTCTAGAGAATGTAAGATGTTTCAACTTGTTAATAATAAATTCCGTTTTAGTAATACTAAATAAGAACTCTGACTTTGAATCTATATTGTCTAGAGAATGCAAGATGTTTCAACTTATTAATAATAAATTCCGTTTTAGTAATACTAATTTGCCAAAGATTAGATAGTAAATTCCTTTTAGCCAATATTCTCTTTGACATAGAAAAAATTCTTTTTTGTATTAGTAAAGGTATTAGTAATGATTTATCAAAATAAATTAAAAAAAATTGTATCAAAAAAATATAAATATACATATTGAAGAGAAACTACAATCTTATCAAAATGACATATATTGTAAGAAGAATAGGAAGATAGTTGTTAATTTGAATAAAAATATTATAATTTAAAAAATAAAAAATTAAAAGATATTGTTTCAAATAAGTAGAGGGAGTTTAAAGGGGGAGTTTAAAGTAGACAACTTGATTATATTTAGGATGGAATATAAAAGAGTTTCTTAAAAAATTACATAATTTTAGAATTTTTGTCATAGATTTTTTTAATATATATATATATATATATATTATATTTTAGAATTAATTTCTTTTTATTATCCTTAACTTTGTAATAAAATAACATTGGTTTATTGTGCTTAATTTTTTATTTTCAAAATTTTATTTACTCATTTACACTAAAAGGTGAAAGTTTGCATCGAAATAATAATAACTAAAATCAAATTAAATTTTATTGAGGCTCTAGGAGATATTAGAACTTTCTAGAAGGTTTTGTAAGATCTTAGAAGTTCTAGAAGAGGTTTGCAAGGTTGCTTAATTTCCAAGGAATGTAGAAGTCACAAAAAAAGGTTTTTGAAATTGTTTCATAATGAAGCAATAAAGAAATCACTTAAGAAATATCCTAGAATGATTTAGAGGCAAAGCCTTTCATAAGAAGTCATCTCGAAGCTTCTTAAATCCTAATATATATAGGTGTCGAGGCTAAGGGGTTCTTTAATCTCAACAACACATGTCTTTTAGTCTAGTTTTGGACCTTCTGATCTTATTCTTGTTTTATTATTATATTGTTTACTAATAAGACTCACCTATCTAATTATCTTGTTATATTTTTGCATAATCTTTGAATTTTATCCATAACAGTTTTTTGAGACTAACATTGATTTCAAAGCTTTATTTTTCTTGATGGAATGCAAATTATTCTTCTTATTGAAAGCATATAAGTGTTTTAGAAGTTGTAGATTATTCTTTTTTAAACTGATATTATTCATTATTCAATGTCATTTTTATTTTTTTTTCTCCCTCTATATATATTATTTTTATTTTTTAAATATTTCATTTCATTATTTTACAAATATAAAAGTAGATTAAGTCATAGAATGTACATCTTCACAAGTAAAGAATAGAGTGACAACTCTTGTAGATATTCAAGCCTTTCTGGATAGTCTATAAGAAAATATTATATTTGTATGCAATCTAAGTAAAGAATCTTAGACTAATTTAATATTTGAAGAAGCTAAACAAGAAGTTTATAATTTGCAACAAGAAGTTCTTCAATTGAAAAAAAACAAGTACTAAACATGTGCCATATACAATCTCTATAGATATTTCAAGAACTACTATAAAGGAACTATAGACTAATATGCTAGATAAGTTTAATAGAACACAATCTATTTTTTGAGGTTTTGTATAAGTATGACTCTATTTTTTTCATTATCTAGACAAGTTCATTCAAGTTGTATTTGTAGGATTTTTTTAATCAAAAAATACTTATTTATAATTTATTCTATTATTAAAAATAAAATTTCTAATGTTATATAATTTAGAGGCTTTTACAAAGAAATTTATTATTACATTTGGAAATAGTAATTAAATAAGGGTGGTAGAGAAGAAGATACAAAACTTGCAACAAGAACCATCTTTAGCTACAATTTATGTTACAATTTATGCTACAATTTATGCTTCAATAACTTACATATGACCTTCATTAAAACAATAAAATATTTATGAATTGGTTTTGATATAATTTGACAAACGACATGAAAATTTTATTTATTACAAAGCCACAATTCAACAATTTAAAAGAACTTATATTTCAAGCTATTATTTGTAATAATTCATTATTTTAATTGTGACAAAAAAATAATGGAATTTTAATAATGAATATTATAATACCATGGCTATTTCTTCAAGAATATCAAAGAAACATTTGATAAGTCCTAAAGCTATAAAAACTGATACTAATTAATATAAACTACTTACACTAATGAAAAAGAATAGGCATAGACAAGAAAATTTGGATTTATATTGTGGGAAGCCAAGTCACAAAGCAAAAAATTGTCTAAATAAGCTTAAGATATTTAAGGCACAAAGTATGACATTAACTCTAGGATTAGCTAAATTAAAAAATAAAAACATTTAATCACAATAGAAACCATATAGTTGGACATTATGAAACTTAAACTACTAAAAAAATGTCTCTTTTTACCTCCAAATCCAATACCTTGTTTTATGCCATCTGTACATATAAAAATTTGAAGTTGTAAGATTTTTATCAAAGCCCTTTTGGATACAAGAGTCTTAGCGTATTTTATAGATAAATATTTTATAATTAAATATATCTTACTATTGGTGAAAAAGATTTATCATGCACTTCTTGAAATCATGGATAGATGAACTCTTTTATTGAAAGATGTTATTGAAGAAATACAATCTTTTCAAGTAATATTAAGAGATCAAGTATCACATATTATCTTTAATATCATTCAATATCTTGCAAACTCTATTGTCATTACACTTCCTTGATTTAAATTACATAATCCTAATGTTGATTGGAATCTCTACAAAATTTCTTCAAGATCAAAATATTGAAGGAAGAAATATCATTTCTTAGAGCTATTATCTTTATGCATACAACAAAGAATGGGGCTATATTTGCAGTATATGCTTCTTCAATGAAAAAATCAACTGAATAAGTTTTACAAGATTTTTCAAGTCAATACTAAGATTTTATGGATATTTTTGTAAAAAAAATACAAACATGCTACTAAAACATTGATCTTACAATTGTGCTATAGAATTACAAAAAAGAGCTCAATTTTTATTTGGACCAATAATTAATCTTTTACAAACAAAGTTAATAATTTTATGGAAATATAGTGAAAAAAATCTTTCTAAAAACTTCATTTGACATTCAAAATCACTTATTAAAACATCTGTACTATTTTTAAAGAAGAAAGATGGATCTTTACAAATATGCATTGATTATCAAGGTTTAAATAAGATAAAAATAAAAAATCATTATCCATTACTATTGATATTAGGACTCCTAGAAAAATTGGAATAAATAAAGATCTACACAAAGATTGACCTTTGTAGAGCTTATAATTTGGTATGCTTAAAAAAAAGGATGAATAGAAGATAGAATTTTAGATAAGGTATGGACATTTTGAATACAATGTCATGCCTTTTGAACTAATCAATGCACTATTTATATTCCAATATTTGATGCCAAGCTAGGAAAATGAGCATTCTACAAACCTAAGGTTGAATTTTTTGGATATATCATATCCAATGAAGGTTTAATTATAAAATCCATAATAAAGAATTCACCCTTGATTAGATCAATTATTAATAGATCCAAAGAAGATTCAAGTTATTAAATATTGAGCAAATAATAACTTAATAAAAGATGTACAATATTTTTTTTGGTTTTGTTAATTTTAATTGGAAATTCATTAAAAATTGTTATCAAGTGGCAAGTCTACTTAGTCAATTGAAATATAAAGATAAGTTGAAATGGATGTCTCAAGCAAAGAAAGCTTTTTAAGACCTTAAGATGGCTTTTTATTTTAGCTCTTATCTTAGTATATTGAGATTTTTTTAAAAAGATTTTTGTATAGAAAATAATGCTTTAAATTTTGCACTAAGAATTTTTCTATTACAAAAATAAGAAAACAAGAAACTACATCTAGTGGCATTTTATTCTAAAAAATTTACAATTGTTGACATTAATTATGAAATCTATGATAAGAGCTAAAATAAAAAGCTATTGTACATTCTTTTTAAAAATGGTGCTATTTGCTTAAAGATTCATTACATCTAATGACTATAAATAAAAAAAATAATAATCTTAAGTATTTTTTGATAACTTATATTTTAAATTTTTGCCAAGCTTGGTGAAATATGTTTCTATCTTATTTTGATTTTAACATGACATATTGATTTAAAAATGACAAAAATTTTCAGATGCTATATCTAGGCAATCATACCTTTTGCCAAAAAAGGAAGAAGCAACATAAAATCAATAATATATAATACTATTAAAATCCAAGCAATTGTGTCTTTAAGCAACCATTATATCAATTCCAGTGGATTCTTTACTTTGT